TAGTGGCGAAGAAACCTTTGACCGGAAATCCATGTACCGCGGTTCACTGACACAGAGAAACCCCAATGGGAGGAAGGGGAGAGCCAACTACATTTTTGCGGTAATGTTTTCATTTCCTTTGTTGATGAGTCTTTCCAGTTCTGTGACCTGTAAGAGGTATGTATTTATATGAAAATATTCAGAGCAGAGGAGATTTGGGTAAACTAACAAGACTGAAAACCAGAAAATTTAAGCAAAAAGTAAAGTAAAATTTGAAAAATATCAGTGTAAAACTAAAAACATTTCTTAAAGAATCCAGTCTATGATAGCTAAGAAATATGAAACCAGGTGCACCATACATGTGAGTTTGCATACAGGTGGTTCCAGAGTCAGGAAAGGTGGCAATGCTGAGACCATGGGGACCCTCTCCACAGGGCCCCACTCCTTGCCCCCATGCCCCTGACTCCTGGGAGGGATTGCTGAAGCCAAGAGCAGTGCCCTGATGTCCTACAACGGCTGCCCACAGACCCAGCCTCCTGGCATTCCCCAGACCACAGGAAAGAATGACATAGGCAGGGTCATATCTGTATGAATGCTCATGTGTGTCTACCTGTGCACACACTCATGTATGCATACACATGTGTGTATGTATCAGTGTGTGTGGTCACAGGCATTAAGCTATGTGCACACTCATGTGCAAACCTGTGTGCACACTCATGTATGTATACACACGTGTGTATATGTGTGCACATTTGTGTAGATGATCAGAGTGTATGCTCACATGCATGAAGCAGTGTGCCCACTCACATATGGATACCTGTGCACACACTCATATTTGCATGACTGTATCCGTGTGCAGAGTCATGTGTGCATGCCTGTGTGTGCACTCACATATGTGTATGCACGTACATGAATTTATCACTGTGTGCTCACGTGCAGGAACCTGTGTGCACATTCATGTCTTATGTGTGTGCACACTTGTGTAAATGTACCAGTGTCTTTGCCCACATGCATGAACCTATGTGTACATGCACATGTATGGTTTGGGGCATGTGTGCACACTTGTAACTATCAGTGCACACTCACACGCTTCTGTTCGTATGCACACTTGTGTGACTGTACTATCATGAATGTTCATGTGCATATGGAGAGGCTTCAGGGCTTCATGGGGAAATTTCATTTTCTTTCAATTCTATTTTTCTTTAAACTTTTTGAAGTCCCTTGTATATCTATGTGCACACTCACATATGCATATCACACGAGTGCTTGTATAGGCATATGCACATGACATGGATGGCATGTACCCCTATACACACTTATGTTGTACCAATGTGTCACACTCACATGACTTATGTGTGCCTGTGTGTCCATGTACATAGTCTTGTGCATGTACACTCACATGTATATATATTTGTGTCTGTCCATATGTGTGTGATCATGTATGTGTGTGCACATCATATGTGTGTGTGATCAGAGTCACATATGTATGTATGTCCATTGCACATGTGTGTGTGCACAAATGAGTCTTTGCACACTTGTGTGTTCTTCTGTGTGCACCTAATCCTGTGCACACTAATTTGTGCATGTGTTTCCTTCACAGAAACCCGTGATGACTCACCAACCCTAAAGTCTCCAAAGAAGCCACACACCACCTTCCCCCTGTTTGCACTTTCCACCCTGAATCCTTCTGGGGAGAAACCAGAAGAATCACTGCCCATGGTGGGCTCCCCCTGCGAGGTGAGCGTGCTGCTCAGATCCCCAGTTCTTCAGTTCACCCACTCTTATTCACTCACTCATGGCTCCCACGGCCCCTCCATCAGCCTGCTGCATCTGTGAGAAAGAGCCAGACGATGTCTCTTCCTTGAGGACAGTGTTTTAGATGGTGTGAAGAACTTGCAAAAGAAGACTTCTCAAGGTGTGATCTTCAGCCTCTCCCACTCCAGGTTTCTGACATTTTTCTCATGAATGGAACAAAGAAAGGTTGAGTCAAGGCACCGACCATAGGTCTCTTTAACCATGTCTACCAGAGTGTGGGCAGAGATGGGCTTTTCTCTCTGGGTGTCCTTGTGGAGAGAAACTTGGCACCAAGACAAAGAACTGACTTTGACCAGCTGCATAACAAGAGAGGACAGACCCCCTCCATGCCCCCACACACCTCTTCTAGGAGACCACCTGCACATAGCCCAGGAGAGAAACCCTAATGGACCGAGAGTGCCCATGGCAACAGGAAACATCAGACCCAATCCTCAAACAAACTCAGAGGTGGGTTGGCTAGTGAGAGCTCAAGATGGACAGACAGCGGGTGGGATCCCAATTAGTGACATCAGTCATGACAGGGAATGATGACAGACACCGATGATCCCCAGTTGTCTGCCCCTTTGGACAGTCTGTGTGCCTGTATATGGGTCATCCTGGTTCTCATGGACAACTCTCCAGAACCAGCAGTCTTCACTGCTCACCTGGGGTGCCCTGCTGCACCCCCACCTGGATGCAGTCCATCTGACAACCTGTTTTGGTGTAGAAGGGCCTTGAGCTCTGAGAGTGAAGCAGCTAGAAGCCAACTTTGTGTTTGTCTGCGACTTCTAAGGAGTCTGTGGATGGTGCAAGCATTTAAACACTCAACTACTGACCCCAAGGTGCCTTGGAAGACATGCCTGGCATTCTTCTTCTGAAAGATCACAGCCTTGAAGACCCTACGGAACACATGGGTTGAAATCGACTTTGACGGCACTTGGTCTTTCTGGGTCTCCACCTCCTAAAGTGCCTTAGAAGTCACCTAGTGCTTTTCTCACTCAAATCATTTGGTGTTTTCATCCAAAGAAGAAAATGCAGAAATGGTGCTCAGGAGCCTTTGCCAATGAACCATCAGGGTCTGGACACCCTGCTGACCAGACCCCCACCTGTGGACATTATCGCTCACTGGACTACTTCTGATTGAATTCCTGCCTCACAACTGCCCGGATAACCTCCAGAGGCCGGTGAGTCCTCAGCACAGTCCCCACACCCAAGAGCAAGCGCAGTGCTGAGAAATTGACTTCTGGTTGACCCTTGTTCTCCTGTGATCTGTGGAAGAAAGGGGCCTGTCTCTCCTATCCAAAATGGGAGCCATGCAACACTCAACATGAAAATTAAAGGATTCCTAGAAGAATGAAAGGGTGTCCATTTCTTTTTTATGTGCACCCTTCCTTAGTCACAATGTTAATGTAAGTTCCTAAAAGTCAAAGAAGAAACAAACAGCCCCAGTAGCCCTGAGCATGTCCTTGAATAGGAACATAAGAGGCACAGTAGTCCTTGGTGGTGAGTCCTTGGAGCCCAGTTCTTACTCAACATTTGCTTCCATTACTAGTCGACCACAGAGCGCTAAGCATACTGGTCTTCTCCGTTAGGATGCCCCTTCTCGAACTCTCCATGCTATTCAGTGCTAGTGATACACAGCCAACAGCACATGAAGCCCCTTTTTCAGCACTAATCCTGTGACTACATGACCAGGATCCAAGAATTTGGTTCCTTCTCTTCCAGCCCTCTGGATGTGGAATCTCATCAGTCATTAGTACCATCTGTAAGGTGGCGATACAGCCCAGACAGCCCTGAGTTCTGTACCCATAGCTCAGCCTCCTCTTTGGCATCTCCACTTGGATCATTAAGGGATATCTCAAAGTTAACCCACCCTAGTGAACACCAAGCATATCCCAAGCCTGTTGCAGGCAGAGCCCGGTAATGGCAACTCCATCCTGCTATCAAAGGGCCGAGGGGAACCTTGTTGTTGTTGTTGGGCACCATCGAGTCGGTACCGACTCACAGAGACCCTGTGCACAACAGAACAAAACACTGACTGATTTTGTGCCAACCTCACAATAGTTACCACCCTTGAGCCCATTGATGCTGCCACTTTGCCAATCCATCTCGCTGGGGGTCTTCCTCTTTTTCTCTTACTCTCCATCTTACCAAATATGAGATCCTTCTCCAGCGACTGGTCCCTCCTGACAATATGTCTGAAGTATGAGAGATGAAGTTTGGCCATCCTGGCCTCCACTTCTTCCAACACAGATCTGTTGGTTCTTTTGGCAGCCCATGGCACTTTCAATATTCTCCTCCCACACCATAACTCAAAAACATCAATTCTTCTACGATCTTCCTTATTCACTGTCCAGCTTTCTCATGCATATGAGGTTATTGAAAATACCATGGCTTGGGTCAGGAGCACCTTAGTCTTCAAGCTGACATCTTTGCTCTTCAACACTTTAAAAAGGTCTTGTGCAGCAGTTTTGTCTAATGCAATATGTCCTTTGATTTCTTGACTGCTGCTTCCATGAGTGTTGATAGTTGACCCAAGAAGAGTGAAGTCCTTGACAATCTTTTCTCCATTGATAAGAATGTTGTTTATTGGTCTAGTGGTGAGGATTTTTGTTTTCTTTACATTGAGATGCGATCCATAGAGAAGGCTGTGCTCTTTGATCTTCATCAGTATATGTTTTAAGACCTCTTCACTTTCAGCAAGCAAGGTTGTATCATCTGCATATCATAGGTTGTCAACAAGTCTTTTGATGCCACTTTTTATTTTCATATAACCCAGTTTCTCGGATTATTTGCTCATATACAGGTTGAATAAGTATGGTGAAAGAATACAACCCTGTCACACACCTTTCTTAATTTAAAACCATTAAGTGTTCCCATTCATTTTCTGTTCAAACAACTGCCTCTTGGTCCATGTACAGATTCCTCATGAGCACAATTAAGTGTTCCAGAATGCTTATACTTCACAATGTTGTCCATAGCTTGTGTCATGAGCCACACAATCGAAAGCCTTTGCGTAGTCAATAAAGCATAGGTAAACATCTTTCTGATATTCTCTGCTTTCAGCCAAGATCCGTCGGACATCAGCAATGATATCCCTCATTCCACGGCCTCCTGAATCCGGCTTGAACCTCTGGAAGTTCTCTGTAAATGTATACTTGCAGCTGTTTCTGTATTACCTTTAGTAAAACTTTACTCTCATGGGATATCAAAGATATTGTCCGATGATTTCCGTATTCCGTTGAATCACCTCTCTTTGGAATGGACACAAATATGAATGGATCTCTTCCAATCAGTCAGCCAGATAGTTGTCTTTCAAATTTCTTGGCATAGATGAGTGAGTGCCTCCTGTGCTGCCTCACTTTCTTGAAAGATTTCAATTTTTATTCCATCAATTCCTGGTGCCTTGTTCTTTGCCAATTCCTTCAATGCACCTTGGACTTCTTCCTTCAGTGTCATTAGCTCTTGATCATATGCTACCTCTTGAAATTGAACATCAACCATTTCCTTTTGGTACAGTGACTCTGTGTGTTCCTTCCATCTCTGTTTGATGCTTTCTACGTCATTCAATAATTTACCTAGAGAATCCTTCAATAACGAAAGTCAAGGCTTGAATTTCTTCTTCAGTTCCTCCAACTTGAGAAATGCTGAGCATGTTCTTCCTTTTGTGGGGATCTTTTACTGTCTTTTGCTCCTTCACAATCTTTCTGGACATGTTACCACACTGCCTCTGTCAGGACCTATCCCCACCCTTCCCATATCTACCGCCTCCACCTTCAGTTCCATCCATCTCTTGAATTCCTTATTTGAAAGGTTGTTTTGTTGTTGTTGTTGTTGTTTTACCTTAGATTATTCCCTATGATCTCTACATCATGTTTAACGTTGTCAGTATCTTCTCCTATTTCTATGAGTACATTTGTTCTCTTACAATTCGATTTTTCTGTCTCAGTCTATGCTTTTGATTCCAATGTTGTATGCTGTGCAGTAGGTGTTGCTTTTGAGATCTGTTATTGGCCTGTAAACTCATGTTTCTCTGCACATCCTGGCCACTCTATCCAGCCATGCCTGGGGCACAGCTGGGAGTCAAGGAAGCTCACCACAAACCAAGCTACCCAGCAAGCCTTCACTTTCATTTTCAAACCCCCAGGAAGGTGGAGAGGAGTTGGTCGCCATAGCTAAGAGTCTACCAGCTTCCAGTGACAGATGGTCTCCCTTACCTGTTGCTCCCAATGCTTCCTGATACTGTCGTCCTCCTATGGTCACTTATTCTGGTGGTCACTTATTCTGATGATCACTTATTCTGATGGTCACGTATTCTGATAGTCACTTGTTCTGATGATCACTTATTCGGATGGTCACTTATTCTGATAGTCTAAGCCAGGAGCCAACAAATCTGGCCACATCTACTGTCAGTGGTGACTTTCACACTACAACTGGACTCAGAAGCCCAAGGATATGATCAAGCTGGGTTTGCTACATCACTACAAAGCTTGGTCATTATCCAGGGAGAAGGGCCTTGTATATTTTGCACATCATTGCATATGAAGCTTGGAACCTGGTTGGATGGGAGTTGGGTGGAGAGGTTGGGGATGCCATTTCTTTCCACCACAGATGTCACACCAAGTTCCAGGAACCATGGCCTATGGGGACAGGGGGCTGCATTTATCATGGCTGCATTTATGCAGGAAGTGCCAACTCGAATTTCTATTATGCCATCACACTGACGTTCAACGTTGAACAGATTCTGCTCATCTCTGACTACTTTATGCCTTCCTGCGGCGGGAGTATGACCTCACACATAGACTCTACTTGACCACCAAGAACGGCAGGAAG